GTTTGGAAGTTCTCATTTTTAAAACTGCACTTTTGGTTTCATTTAACATTTTCAAAATAGCTTTCCTTACCACCACCCATCCCCTCCCCCCACCTCACTCACCCCCTTCAAAAAACTTGCAAAGTTCTTTTTTTAACACTGAAAATCATTCATTTACCTCAGAGTAACAGCAACATTTTTCTTTCTAAATTTCTAGGGGGGCTGGGGGAACTCCAAGTTATCACAAAGCATTTTCCTTTTTTTCACCTATCCAAAATAACTAATCTCATTTTAACTAGATTCCATCTGAACATCAATGATACTAAGCTATTCCATGAATAAACATGATGTTACAACGTGAAACCCTGTGACTAAAGTATATAAAAATGTAGCTGAAAGAAAAGAGGACTGAGGGTCCCCCTCCCCCACTAACTCCCTCCCCAGGGAGTTTTAGATTTGAGCTGAGGCGGGGTGAGACCAGCAGATTTAAATTTCAAGGTCTTCAAACATTTGTAACACTCATATTAAACCCTGTAAAACTAAAAACTGTAATTCTAAATAAAAATCCTTGTGTGTACAGCTTCCGATCACAATCACAGTTTTCTCTTTTGGAAGGGGATGTGTAATATTGATAAAAGAAAATATATCTCAAAACAGAAGAAGTACATAATGGAACTCCCACGTTTTTGGTGTTTATGGTATTTTTTTTTTTAATTAGCATGGTGCCAACATGAAAAAATATATATACTTAAAAACAACCTCATTTGAATGGAGACATTTTAGGTCATTTAAATGAGGAAATAAGTCTAGAAAAGTTATCTACTCTAACAAAAATTTTTATAACTTTACTTAATAAACTTTGTTAAATTCTATAATAATCCAACGTTAATTAGTTAAATCCTTTCACTTAAATTGATGTTTATTATCATGTTTCTTGTGTATTTTACCTATGTTTTCATCTCACAACACAGATCTCAGGAAATGAAAAAAGTATATATTTGTTTTAATGAAGCTTTTCACAGAACAAATATTCTGAAGTCTTTAGAACATATTTTTATATCCTATCTGACTATATGTATAATGTTAAACTATGTAACCATGCAGTTGTATTCTTCCAAAATACATTTGGCACAGAAAGACCATTCAAGTGCATGAATTTTGGAAGACATGGGATAGATTTATGACAGCATGCAGAAAGAAAAGGTAAACCCTTTCGTACTGCCTGAAAATTACAGTGAACAACAGTGACACAAAGCTCAGAGTTTCTCTTAATTTCATTTTAAAAGGGGGGAGAAACACCCACACATTTCTTTATGAAATTCCATTAAGATTCTAATGTTGCAAATAACTGTTATTTCCAAGAACAGCCAGCAGCATTTAAAACACATTTTTTGTTGTTGTTGTTTCCTTTGTAATGCATTTATATTCCTTTAAAAAGAGGTGTAGTCTTATAATCTCTTAGACACTTACTTACCTTTGCCACAAAGATTAGGATTCTAAATGGCCTTATGATAAAATAAATGTGGGGGGTGTGGGATGAGCACTTTAAAGGGAGTGGGAAGCGGATATCCCAAGCAGCTTCAGCTCAACAGGAGGTACCAGGCCCCCAAAGCATCCCAATCGGGTGCCTCAGGGAAGGTGCTAATTTCAATGCATTGGCTCTCAAATTCTCTCCGTGCTTTTATCTACTGATTCATTGATTGGCTAGTCAACGAATGTTTACTGAGTACCTACTTAGTGCAGGAACTGCTTGCTCAAAGTGCTAGCTTTAAACAAGACTGATTGACAGGAGCTGAGCCTTCAAATTTTCTTCACTATTACACAATTATTTCAGTACCATTTGTGATTTTGAGCTAAATATCATGAGCAAAGAAATAATGTCTGCACTCTTAACTCTTATTTCATAACACTTTCCCTTACTAAAGAAAACCAATCTGAATTTTCCACTGCCAGTAATTTGTAGATGAGAAAGCAAGACCCATGCCAACTAGTTAGTAAGAGTTAGAAATAGGATTAACTCCCAATCCAGTGCTCTTTAAACTAAAACTATCCAACTTGTGAAGGACTTTGATTTGATTTCATTGGGAGAAATGCATCAACTCCCACGAGAGAATGCCCTGGGGTCAGCCATGGAAGGAGACAGTAGGTAAACATCATGGTTCTTTACTAATTTCTTCCCATTACAAAAAGAATTTTCTAGGAAATTTCTGCAAACTTGAGGTTTAAATTATAGTAATTTCTTCATCAGAAACTGATTTGCTAAAATTTCTTTCTAGCCAAGTCTATGGTCCAAAAGGAATGGAGACTTGAGAGTATTGCCCAAGGGTGTGTGTATGGCTGTGTGTGTGATATTTGGAGTTAATAAAATAATACTGCATACTATACGAGTGGGAACCAAAAAAGAGAGAGAGGAGAAAGAGATGAGTCGCTCTGGCCCAAAATGGTTGTATGCATTGGTTAAATTCTAAAAGGAATCACTCAACAATCTATTCGATTTTGTGTGAGAATAAACTGATGACTCTTGCTGGGTTTCACTACACTTCATTTCAGCCAATTCCTTTCCAAGGCTCAGAATAGCTTTATCATAAATGGCAATCATTGATTAAATACAGAGTGCAACTTTTCATGAAAAGTTACTTTTTACTAAAGACACATCACGATCGAAATTTAATATTTACTGTCAATATTTAAATATCGTAGGAACAATTATTTGATTCTCTCTTTTCTTTATATGAAATGAAAACAAATTTATGGTATTGGGTGGGTTCATGACAGCATTTATTGCTTGGCAAAGAAAAAAGAAGTGTCAGGGCAATTATTTGAATAATTATAAAAATGATTGAATTAAGGGAGGGAAATGTACAAGGGGTTGGCTCTAGAACACACCAGAAAATAGTTCATAGCACTTTAATGTCACAGGCAGAGAGATTTAAAAAAATCTTTAAGATTTGTCATAGTAAGCTTTCCTCTCTTGGTTTTTAAGCTATGAAGCAGGTTGTTTGTTTTGTTTTGTTTTTCCTATTCTAAGCTAAATCTTTAAAAGTAATGTCCCATGATCCAAAAGTTAGGAGTTCCTGAGTTTAGCTCTCACAAAAAATAACATGCCATTTTCAAAAACCATACTAGTAATGGGGTTCTTTTCAAATGTCTTGTCTCAAATGTAAAACAAATAAGGGACTGGATTGCACTGCAAGGATTTTTATGAGGGCCAGGGGAATCTTGCAGATAAGTCTCCTAGCTCAGAACTGGCCAAGTGTTAAGGGCCACAAGGGCACACAGATACCAGAGAAAGCTGCAAGAGGATGGGAGAGAAATCTTTCTGCAACTCCTAAAAAACTTTCTGAAATGTAAAGTAGACACAGGTTATTTTTAGATCTTATTGCTTTTCAAAAATTGAGCAATAATGGCCCCTCATCTCTTTTTAAAAATTAATCATACTTTAAAGAGACTTTTTTCCCCAAAAATTTGTATTGCAATTATTGTGTACCTGAACTATAAGACATTTTCTATCCTCCAAATTCTGAAAACAGGCTATGTCAACCAACAGTTTATGCAGGAATTTAAGATTCCAACACACAGTTGCAAAGATCTGAAGGAAATATACAAACTGTAACACACACACACACACAAAACAACACACACAAACATCAGTTACTGCCAATAGCTCACCACCCTAAGCAAAACAGAGTTTGCACTTCTATGGAAACTACTGGCTTCAAGAGAGAGCAACATTACCAACAATTATATTTAATATCTATGGTGTATTGACATATAAAGAAAATAGAAAAGATAAAGACAGCCCAGCTTTAAAAAAAAAAAAATAAGTCCTTGTCCAGCAGTTAGCCAATCAGAAAGCAGGTCACATCTTGTTAGCTGCATTAAATACATTAAACATCATGAATTCTCTATGGCTCCGTTGACAATTCAAGCAAATGTGTTTTATTTTATAATACAAACTTAATTGAGTCTCTTTCCAGAGTTAGAAGTCAATCTTCAATCTAAAATTCCACCAAAGCTATTCCCTAAAAGCTCTTTGGCATAAATCCTCTGGATATTTCTTCTCTGCAGAGAAGACCAAATTCCTAGCAATTTCTACTTCCTAAAGTGACTTTGGTACACCTATAACAAACTCCTTTTCAGAACACTTCGGCACAAAGCCCCAACTTACAGGCAGATGGACAACCCAGCAGTCAGACCTCAGCTAAGCTAGCATAGAGAAAAACTCAAGTAACATTAAATATTTAAATTGCAGGAGGCGAGCCTGGAGTCTTGCATTTAGAAAGTTCTGAAAGTCCTGTTCTCTCTGCTCCCAGAGTTGCTCCATGCCTGCCTAGGAGGCTGAGTCTCCCTCTCCCAGGCACCAAGTCCCAAATATACAAAAATTAGAGGTGACTTGCCACTGAGCCTGCTCCTGTCCTAAGGTAGAGTGCTTAGCAGGCACTGCCACTCGCGATAGGAGAAAGTGAAGAATCCTCTTGCCCCAAGCAACTGGTTTCTGAATTTAACACAGAAATCCACAAAACGCATGTCCCTCCAGGGCTAGTTCTGAAAAGTAGGCAGGGTTACTCTTCTGCCCCCTTTACCTCGATATTGGTGACTTTGAAAAGCAAATGCAGGTCAGAGCAGAGTTCCTCTGGGATTTGTAAAAAGAAAAAAAAAAATGCTGTATGCAAATGATCACAAAATCCCTTGAAATTATATCTCAAGAAATACCACCGGGACCGACTCAGCCTGCAAACATCAGAGTTCTGGGAAAGCAACATTTCTGGAGACCCAGCATGTGAATCAAGCGCTGGGATTGTCTCTTTCAAGATTCCGGCAGAAACTGTCCCCTGCTTCAAGAGTTGCTGTGCCTGGAAATCCACTGTTCAAACTAGTGGATTCATGCTGGCGCTCATTCCCACATACGTGGTAGTATCTAGTGGGACACTTCCCATAGAATTCAGCCAGAAACCCTAGGAAAAGCCCATGCACAGTTTTAAAAAAACACACAAACACATACCCAGGGTTGAAGTACTTACCTCTGTGCGAGACTGCAGTCTCTTGTTCATCTCATAGATTCGGTACTCTGGCTGTACCATGTAGGGTGTATGTCTCCTATAAAATGGGCCGAAAGGAGAAGAATAGAAAGGGTCATGTGGTGTGCTGGACATCTTGCCTGCTTGTCGAAAATCAAGCTAAACAGACTATCAGTAACGTCCATGCAGAGCACATGGGCTGTGTTCTTCACAGTACAAAGTAGACGCACGCACACACGCTCGCACACACACACGGAGCAGGCAGGCAGGCTGAGCACACTGGCTGGGAACTGCTGTCGGAGCCTTCTATAGCAGGAGAGGAGAGGGAGAGCGAGGAGGGAGGGAGAGAGGGAGGGAGGGAGGGAGAGAGCGCGAGAGAGAAGGGAGAGGGAGAGAGCAGGAGCTCCAGAGAGGGAGGGAGGGAGGTTGGTAGGGAGGAAAGGAGGGAGAGGAAAGAGAGAGAGAGAGAGAGAGAGAGAGAGAGAGAGAAGCTGGATAGCTTTAGGCACCACTGCTTGTTTTTAAAGAAGCAGTTTGTGGAGAGGTCATTTCCTGTCCACACTGTAGACTAGTTCAGAAATATAATTCTCTGCACAGTCTGACAAGAGGTCTAAGGTTTGGTTTTAATTTTTTTCCTCCAGCCAGGACCCTTCACAACCTGATTGCTAAGCTTGTTAGCATAGAGGTGGTTTAACCGCTGCCTGAGCACTCACCCCTGACAGCCGCACTGTTGTAATGTATCAGAAATGTGATTACTACAAAATAAAGAAACACGGGCACCATGGCCCCCCGAATTTGGGCTGGTGATTCACTCACATGCCAAGATTTATCTTGGCACTGATCTCCCCATATACTTTTGCTTTACTTGCTGTTGTTCCAAGAGCTTATTCTATTCTTTTGCATTCTGCCCTCTCCACACCCCAGCCCTCCCCAATTACCTCTCTTCCCAGCCCCCTCCTTGGAGGTTACCTGAGCATTTTAAGGTAAAAACAATCATTCTGGATGTAGACTGTCTAACATATACTTATAGGGCAATGGACTTTTCTTCCTAGGAGAGAAAAAAATCCAAAAACAGACCTCCCAATAAGATAGAAAAAGCAAAGAAGGAGAAAACTCCTACCAAAATGACCATGGAAAATTCAGTTGAGTAGGAAATTGCTGAAGTAATTGAATGAACCATCCCCAATAACAAGTCCAACTCTGATGGAGACAAAGTCTTTATTTTCCAAGATTGGTCACGTGAATAAATCTTTTCCCAACTGTGGTATGTGATAACTGGAAGAAAACGCTACAGCCCATGGGAGGGAAAAGAATCTCTACAGAGAATTAAGAAATCTAAAAGATGATCAAATTCTGCTGGAACCAATGGTAACCAGATACATGACACTTAAACAAAGCCTATCCACAGAAAATTTAAATGTATTGAGTTAACACCTAGCAAGATGGTAGTATTAAAGAAATAAAGCAAAAGACCACCAAAACAAGCATGATGAATTCAAGACCTGAATGCAAATGCATGCAAATGAGACATTTCCTCTTTTTAATAAGCAGATTAATTAACTTGCTGCCCCAATCATGGCTTGGGTATCACCAAGTCACTAGCCAACAGGGGATAAGGTATTGCTAAATCTGCAATTTACACTCTTAAAAATACTCAGGCACTGAAATGTCCCCCAATTGCTGTCTTGATCAGTCTTTTACTATGATTGCATGCAATGTTTGCAGAGTCCACTCCATACTTCCAGCAGCACAGCCCAACACAGTAAAGTCACTTGCCAGGATGAGATTAGGCTAGGTATTACACTAAGGCTGCTTGGAACTTGTGCTAGGAGACCCCAAGGCAGGCTAGCATGCTTGGTTTCAGGTTTCATTACAAATCCAAAAGCTGGACCAAATTTGCTGCAAGGTTTGTCAAAACACATAACCTTCTAAAGACAGGATTTCAAACAGTTTTGGCATGATTTATATTTTGGTATGGCGGCCACTGCAAAACCTAGTGGTTTCTTATGTTTAAATTCCCAAACTTAAAACGTTCCAAGAGTTTGGAGGCTGCCTGAGTTTGTGTTAATGTGGCCATTTCAGAGCAAGAATCAAAGTAACACCTAGGCAGGCACATGCAGCTCAGTAGCAATCAAAAATGGAACAGCGCAAACGTCCATTTAGGGAAAGAATCCCTCTCTGAGTAAGGGTAAGTTTTGCTCTCATTAGTTCTTCCAGACCATTCCGAGTTATAATGGGAAATAAGTCTTTTTGTTAATACCAAAAGACTCCAAATTCGGAACTATCTGAAACTTGACAATCCTTGGTCCATGTCCATGGTGTTCATCCAGAGTCTACAAACTGGTCTCCCTTCTCACACATTCACATTCTCTTCTTTTTTTATGTTTTAATTTTGTTTTTACTTGACATTGATAATTGCACATACTTTGGGGTCTGTCCTTATTCTAATCGGAATGTTGATTCTGATTGCAGATAAGTGAAACTGATGTCTCAAGTTTTTATCTTCGCTGTTTCCCTGCTGCCAATGGAAAATGTCCTAGTTCCTTAGGGACACAGGACTAAGACTAGCACTTACTCTTTCTTTCTCACTTTCTGAAACACACACACACACACACACACACACACACACACACTTATTTATTCATTTGTTCATTCATCTATGTCCTATACTTGATCTTCCTGAAGTTAAAATTTTCTTTCACACATGACCACATCTGTACTTTCCTATCTCCTTTGCCTGCAAACTCCTGCTCATCCCTCTAACCACAAAATTGTATGCTCCCCTGTAAGCCTTTTTACTTATGCATTCATTAGTTTATTTACTTAGCAGGTATTCCATTCACAGTGGGTGAGGCACAGGCTATAACAAGCACCACCAACCCTTACCTGCCCTGTGAACTAAAGCAAAGGACTCAACCTCTTTGCACCTCAGTCATCTCATTTGTACAATGGGTATAAAGATAGTAACTAGACCATAAGATTGTTGCAAAGGATTAGCTAATACATCTGAATGTATTAAAACCCATTGCTCAAACAATGTCATCATTATTAGGTACCTGACATCTGTTCAGGGGCTAGGGGACTTTGGGGAGACCATGGTGACATAGCAGATGGGCCACCTACCATCCCTTTGCAACCTAATGAAGATAAGGGGGAGATGGTGTTGGAGAATTACTAAGCATCTAGGGACATCAGTTCAAATTATAGCATATGCTTTGATGGGAATAAAAGAAAGAGATAGAAAAATCATTTCCCCCTTTGGGTCATCAGTGTACCTTCTGTATTCTTCTATTAGAGAACTTGTGCATAAAGGTAACAATGATTGTCACTTGTTCGGTACTTCCTATGTGCCAGACCCTGTGCTGAGTGGTCTATACAATTAATCCTAGTTAATCTCACAGGAAAGCTGTGGGGTTGATTTGATTACTATCTCCATTTTACGGATATGGAAACTGAGGCTTCAAGAGGCTAAGAAAGTTTTTCAAGGCTATGCAACCAATAAGTGACAGAGATGAGATTCACACCCAATTTGCCTGACTGTCTAGGTCTTAGGCATTTTGCTACTCAGAGGCTAGATTCATCCTCATCCTAAGGACATCTCTGGTTTGTTTCATTTTAAAGCAGATTAAAAGATGAAAATGTTTTTATTTGTACAAATTTATGGAGTACATGTGCAATTTTGATACATGCATAGATTGCATCTTGGTCAAATCAGAGCTTTAGAGTATCCATCACCCAAAAATACATTGAACCCATTAACTAATACTCATCATCCACTACCCACCCCATCTCTGTTTTGCCCCCAGTGGCCAGTGTGGTGCCAACCCAACAGTAGGCACTTAAGTAGACTTGATTAAAGGGAAGGAGAGGCAAAAGGATAAAGTAGCTCCCATCACCTGGGTTTTATTTTTCATCTTGATTAATTTCAGTCCTCCACGTCCCCCTGCCTTGCTTTGACCCTTCCCCTTGAAGCATTCCCAAGCCACTCCTATGTTTCTTATTGTCCCAAATCGCCCACTACACACCCCCAAAGCCACACCAGTGGGTGTTTAATCCTTTGCACCAGCAGGCTACTGGGTTGGTTTTGTCCCTTGTTTGTCTATCTTCTTTCCTGCTTCCTGAGGGACCAGCTATGACTTGTCTTCTTCTGGCTAAGCCTGAAAAGGGAAGGAAATGAAGTGCCCATTTTAAGATTGTAAATCAACTTCTTCAGAAAACCATAGGGAAATCCAAGTAAGCAACATTTACATGCAAACAAGTCTAGCCCCAAACAGAACAGTTCTATTAAGCACAAAGATTAAGCCATGCTCATTTAGGTATTGTTTTGCATGTGGAGTACTGAATAAGTTTCCAAAGTCTTCACATAAATGTTCAAGGTGCTCTAAAAGCTGGCCTGATCTTTACGCTTGGAACCTCATCTAGCCACATTCACCTCAAGTTGAACCTGCACAATGATTATTGTTCCTGTAACGTGAAATACTTGCACACTGTTTAAAATGTGAAGGATTTTACATGCAATCTAGATTTTCAGCTTCTCTTGGAAAATCATAAGCTCTGGCCATTCTTGGCCCCATTCCTGTCTGTACAGGAATGTGTAGCTGGACCTGACACTTAGTGCTTGTAGACCCACCATGGTCTTCATCACTCTGTGGCCTTCACTATGCAATGTTCCCAATTTGCATTTGCCGTCCTGGTCCCCCTAGGTATTTGAGTCATTGTCCTTTTCCTTAATCTACCCAATTGCTTCTTTTTCAAATCCTTCAACCAAGCTCTGTTTGCTTCAGAAAGTCAGTTTTCTTACCACTCTTCTGTTCCCTCCTCTTCCCTTCTTTACGTAATTCTGTGCCCTACACTTTTTTCTGCCTCTTATTAGTTAGAAAAGCATTTAACTAAGAGGTATAGGCAAAGTACAGCTGAGATATGGTGAGGGATAAAGAGAAACAAAGACACAGACATGACAAAGACAAAGAAAAGATAGTCTCTGCCTTCAAGTGACTCATAGACATGCAAAAATATGCCTCATTCATTCAACAGTGAATATTGAACACCTACTAAGTACGATGCCAGGTGCTAGGAATATAGCCCAGGAACAAGACCAAAGGAAACACAGAACTGATCCCCAGCTTCAGGGTCTGTACAGTAGAGAGGCAATCTAGGATAATCTTTAAAAGAATAAACTTTGGAGATTCACTGATGTAGCTTAAATCTTGACTCCTGAATTCAGTTGTATGACTTTGGGTACTTGACCCCTCTGTTCCTCAGTTTTCTCATCAGCAAAATGGGGCTAACTATAATCTTATGATTCTTATGAGGACTACATATGTAACTGATTAGAACAATGCCTGGCATTTAGTAAGTGCCATAATTATTACTATTTTTATTAGAAGAGGCAATAGGAGTTAACTAATCTCCGAGATAAATGTAAAGCATAGAGGACAGAATCAGACAAAGGGTAGGCGTTACC